TCCTATTGGGAGTGTTCCTAAGAGGTTTCATTGACCCACTATTGATCATGTGCCTCATCACATCAACCAAGTGTGAAAAAAGGTGTGGGTCACTATCAGAGGTTTTGGGTGAACCCATTGTGAGAGCTTGCTGAGGTCAAATGGCCCCAGGATGTGAGTGTGACGGTGTTAAGGCGTCTGGGAAGGATCTCAAAACTGGATTATAAATGGCTGACAGTTAGCGTCGTAAGCCCCGCCCTCCGTTCAAAGATGGTCGTTCACAGTGGACATAGATGGCTTCTTTGTGAACTGGTTTAGATTTCTGGATTCCTTTGGAGAGTTAACCCCTGCGTATTAGCTTAAAAACGCTACAAAGGACCAAGAATAAAGGAGGACAAGATCTACCTAACTTCCAACACTACTTCTTAGCCAACGGGCTACAATTCATCCCAGGATGCCTAAATCACAGCCACTTAGATGAACCCTAGCTAGACACAGAACAGGCACCATGCAATATAAATATAAACCATTCATTAGCTCAAACATCAAATAACATGTATGCATCAAAAGCATCAACATCAGCTCCTCTCTGACAGCATGGTGTCTTCATTGATCCCAAGCAAACGTACCCATCTGGAACAACCCTGACATACTACAGAACAATAATATGATTAACTTCACAGACTGGAGTCGTAAAGGAATTAAATACTTGGAAGATATATTAGAAGGAACAGACTTTATTCCATTTGACAGATTAGTTATACAATACATGATTAACAAGAATAGATTTTTAGAATATCAACAAATTAAGTCTATAGTAAAAAAGAAATTTAAGCCTAATCAAACACCATCAAGTGTGGTACAAATTCTTTTACATCCCTGGGTACAGTTAATAAAATAATACATAGAGTGCACTATACAGATCAATGGATGTTCAGGATGGGTTTTACGTCTTCTAACAACTGTTCGCACTGTAAAGGCAATACACCTAAAAATTACATCCATGCTCTTAGGTTCTGGTGCTCGATATGCGAAGACTTATCAAAGTTTTTTGAAATGTAACATTCCAGCCTCCCCTTCAGTTTGCTTTTCGGGTCATTTAGATGATGTCACTGTGGAGATGATTACAATCCACATGGCTCTCGCTGCCTTATCCATTGCTAAGAAGACTGTCCTCATGAAATGGAAAATAAAAATAATTTTAAGTTTAACCAATGTAGAGACCGTTTGTTGGACCATTGCCAGACAGGAATCAAATAAATAAACAAAAAATAGATTCTGGGAAGAGACAATGGAGTAAAAGTCAAATGCTCTGGACCGCCTCTCTCTGGCTCAGAGACAAACGACTGCCACAACCAGGCACTAACACTTTTTATTGTGGGTGATAAACAGGATACTAAAACAGATTAAGGTGGCCTTAGGTCTGATCTCGGCTCATGTTTCGTCTTCTGCAACTTTCTGAGCATCTCCTTATTTGGAGTCACTGCTTCACCCATCACCATGGCAACCACCTCCTACCCTCCAGTCAGATCTGCATAAAGAAGGAGTGTATAGTGCATACCATCGCCTAACAACTGATTTATCACCTTAGCTATATTCCACAGAGAGGAATGCTTCTCTCTGCTCATGTCTGTTATCATCAGAGTGAATCCAAAACGATTCCACAATACACCGTGTGCAGTAAAAGACAAAACACAAATATGTGGTGCTAATTATGCGACATTAGCCTTACAAGATAAAAATTTATCCCAACACTTGTCTTTAGTTGCTCACAGGTTCTTGCACTTACAAATTGGTTCAGTTTTGGTTGCTTTATGTTTTGAAATGTTACATTTACATTTTTCTTTACTTTAAATAGTAATGAATTTATTATAATGATGCATTAAAAAACTGCATCAACTCTATGCCTTGAAAGCAGTCAGCTGACTTTTTCTATTTAGCTTTTTAATTTTTTTATGTATTTTTTCTATTAAAGATTTTACTATTATTATAATATGGAGGTAATTTTTTCCTGCCAGATATGGAGGTCTCCCACTGTAGTTGTTTGATTTTGAAATGTGATGTCATGGTCCTCCAATTCTCCCTGGTTTCCTGTCAGTGCTTGTTATTGTGTGTCCCTCTCTCCCTCCCATCCTCACTCCTTTCCGCCTGGGTGGTGTTGCATTGTAGATTTCCACCTTCGGCCAACGCACCTGCTG